TTCATCAGAGAAGTTTCTGTTCAAGTCTCTTGCCCACATAGAAATGAGGTATTTGTTCTTTTCTTATTGATTAGTTTGAGTTCTCTATAGATTCTAGTTATCAGACTTTTGTAGGAAGCATAACCTGCAAAAATCTTCTCCCGTTCTGAAGGTTGTCTGTTTGCTTTACTTGCCATGTTCTTAGCTAGGCAAAGTCATTTCCCCAAATGCATCCAATTTAGCAATTATTGAATTATAATAAATATATAATCAAGGGGCTGTCCATCTGAGTGAGACAAGATAATCTTATTGAATGAATTTTATAAAAAGTATTATAGGATTAACTTTTTCTGTGTGCTATTCTTTTAAATTACTTTCAAAATGAATACAAATATAGAGAGGTATTAAAATTACATTAAAATAATATCTGCATTAATTGCCATCTATCATACTTAAAATAGATGACAATAGTTTGTATTCAATATAAAATAAAATCTTGTGTAATGTCTCTTCATAAAGTAATCTGAATACCAAATGTTTACAAGCTATTCAATGTTCCTATAATACCTCACTATAGAGACTCAAGTAAATTATTGAGGATCATGGATGCAAGAAGAAGAATAAAATCTCATAAAAAGAGAAGAAAATCTTACAGATAAATTTCCATTTGGATTATATCTGAAAGGAACACTATAACTTCATTGGATGAGCTGAGGTACAGAGTATTGACGTTTAGGGAACATGTGGGCAAAAGCCAAATACATCAAATGATAAAGGGTATAGAAATATAATGAAAATAAAACTGGAAATATAGAATAAGACCTGGTTATGAAAAGCCATTATGCAACAGCAGAAGGACTACAGACACCCATATGAGCAGAAAGGTGCCCGAGGGCCTCTGGGTTAGCATATTATTTCTAGTGGCAAACAAAGAATGAACTGGTGTTCTGAGATACCCTGGCAATGCTGTACTGGGGGCCTGGGAGAGTACACAGTATAAAACGTAGGCCCTGTTCTTAAGCAGTTTACAATCTGGGGAGAATTGTAAAATATCAACATTTGGAAGAAAAATGAGAACAGAAGGTTTCATATCATACGAAATTTTGTGAATTCATTCATTTGCCAAAAAAAAAAAAATTCCTAAACTTTTAAACTGCTAAATATCGGAAAAGATATATGCTCTGGGCTCTTGTTGTAGTGTAACATATGAGGAAAAATATATCTGCATTTTATATATTCTAGATTAAACATATCTTTATATTCCTGAATAACATCTATGTGTAATTATATCTCTTTGTGAATAAATACTACAACTCTGGGAAAATTTTGGGGGCTTGAAAATTCTATTGAATCACATTAATTTTACTAATTATCATTTCTTAAAGAGTACCTCCTAATGGAGAACAGTAAAGAATATTCATTTTCAATATTTCTGTGTCATTTGATACAGGGAGAGTAAACGGTGGGACCTATGGAGCGTATTGCAAGGGTACTCCAAGTCAAATCTGTCAAGTATAGAACATAAATGTCTTTACACAATAATCAAGTAAATGAAGTGAAAGCTTTATTAATCAGTTTGATATAAGCACTCCAAATTGTAAAAAAAATCAGCTCATTGTACCCCACAAATGCATAAAGATACTCATGATCTACGTGTATATGACTTAGTAAAAGGGAAAAAAAAAAGAAAAATGAATGTGGAATCTCAAGTTGCTGATATTGTGCTCTGTAACTTTTCTATAAAGGGCTCAGTTTTAAATGGTGCATTTTACCTGAATATTACAGGTGGTTTGCTTCTTTCACGAAGCTATCATTAATGAAAACAGTACAGAAAAATTCTGGTAAATATTTTGCTGAAGAATTGTCATGGGGAATATGTGTGAGAAGCTGTAGTTAAAAAAGTACAACTAATTATATGTATTAGGAATGTGCATTTTGGCCACATAAAACATCTAAAAGATATTTTTAAAAATTATCAGCATTATTTGCAGAATGACTATGCTTGAGGCATATTAAAATGACATTAAATATTTCTTTTATTTCAATTAAATTAGGTTTTGAATGCAGAGTTAATATTGATACTGAACAAAATACAGAAAGATATTTTTATACTGTTAACCTTGCTGCATCTGTAAAGATATTTTTAGTAAACATAAGGAAGTAGTTGAATGTATAATTCTGATTTTAAATTATTCTGGTCCAATTATTCACTGTACTTAATGAGATCCTTCTGCAAGGAAATCATCACAGCTGCAAGAAATGTGAAAAGCACATTATGAGACAGCTAGAGCTTGGAAATTCCATGGCAATCTACAAGACTGTATTTTTCTATAACATGGAAGCATAAAGTATGAGTATTTTCAAGAAAAACTTGGGCTACTTTCAAAGCACAAATATTAAAATAAACAATCTTGTGAATATTATTACTTGCTCAGTGTTTAATTTAATTATAAATAGAGATGTTTGGGAAAAGAATCTAAGTCTTGAGGTAATGACATATCCTTCACTTTCTCTGTCATTCTGCTTGCAATGTCTTAGCTATAATGACAACTCCCAAGAAAGACCATACTGACCCTTTGATTTATATAAAAACTAAAACTGTATTAAAAGTTTATTATTTGCTAAACACTGTTACATATGATTTATATTTACTCTTCACACAAATGAAGTTACGTCTGAGTTATGGATATAACTTTGAAGATGAGGATATTGCGACCCAAGGAAATTTAAATATGTTTTTCCAATGTCACACAGCTGGTAGCAAAAGATTAGGATTTTAGCCCAGGCAATTACACTCAAAAGTCAACACTGTTAATTGCAGCACTCTGGCTCAATGTGCCCTGCCTGCAGGACCAGCAGTCTCACTGGCATTACCTTGCAGTATTAAAGAATAGTAATATATAAATCTTTCAGTATTTTTACGTTGATTGCCTATGTTCTTAACTAGAATATAAGCTCTATTCTTTTTCTAGTAAAGATATAACATACTTTCTAATTTCGTTTAGAATAATGTAACAGATACTTAGGTTGAAAGATTAATTTTCTTTAGAAGAATAATTGACATTTACGTTGAAAGATTAATGGCTTATCTAAATGTTTCTTGACTTATTATATGAAATATTTATTAGCTGTGTACTTCACTTACTATATTATGCTTCCTATCATATTTATATAATTAATTCATATAATTATAAAATATCAAATTTTTAGAAGTTATATTACAAGATTTGTACTAAGCATTGTTGAATATATTTCCAAACTTGTGTTCCTAAATTATAATTTCATTAGCAATGTATAAGAATCCTCAATTCCCAAAGTTCTCAGCAACATTTGATATTGCCATAATTAAAACATTTTTTCTACCTTTCTCCCCAAAACATTTCATTTGATTATCCTTGTAATTCTAATAGCTAGTTATATTGAGCTTTTTTATATTCTTATATGACTTTTATTTGTTCTTCTTTTTTTTTTTTTTTTT